CCACCGCCCGCATGCGTCCCCCACACCAATTTCGGCACACCCCTCACACGTTTCGTGGCTCCATAGGGAGCTCCACCGACGGCCCCAGTGCCACCGCCCGCATGCGTCACTCACGCCCTTTCCGGCACACCCCTCACGCGTAACGTGGCCCCATAGGGAGCTCCACCGAAGGCGCCAGTGGCTGTGTTTGCATCCGCCCACCGCACACATTTCGGCACACCCCGCACACGTTTCGTGGCCCCATAGGGAGGTCCACCGAAGGCCCCAGTGCCACCGCCCACATGCGTCACCCACGCCCTTTCCGGTGCACCCCTTACGCGTACCGTGGCCCCATAGGGAGCTCCACCGACGGTCCCAGTGGCTGCGTTCGCATGCGCCCACCGCGCCTATTTCGGCACACAGTCTCACGCCTTTCGTGGCCCCATAGGGAAGTCCACCGACGGCCCCAGTGGCTGCGTTCGCATGCGCCCACTGGACAAGTTCTGGCACACCCCTCACACGTTCCGTGGCCCCATAGGGAGCTCCTCCGAATGCGGTGCGTTCAACGACGGTGCTCACAACTGCATTTTGTTGAGTCCTTCGCCAGGCTAAGTTGTTTTTTGACTTGGTTACCATGTGTCCCTGGTTTTGGTACGAATTGCTCATCATGCGATAGGTAGTAAGCAATACCTCGTCTGTGCCCAATACTTTGGACCTCATTGGCTGCACCATAAGAGTTCTACAGTCAGTGGGATGTTCTGCTAGTCACGATGGCGATGGCGAATGGCGAATGCGAGGGTGGCGATGGCGAATGCGAGGGTGGCGTCGACGATGACGACACCAATGGTCAGAACGACAGCAATGCCGAAGGTGGCGAAGGCGACGGCGGCGGTGTCGGCGATGACGACGGCGCTGACGACGACGCAGGCTGTGACAACGACGGCGATGGCGCTGGCGATGTTGGCAATTGCGGTGGCGGCGGCGACCGCGACGGCGCCTGCGAAGGGGACGGCGGCGAGGGCGGCGGCGGCGACGGCGAGAGTGGCGACGGCATTTACAACGGCGACGACGGTAACGACGACGGCAACGACGACGACGATGACGACGACGACGGCGACGACTGCAACGACGACGACGACGACGACGTCACATTTTTTCCCAACCATCCTGCGGGGTTGTGTCCTCGTTTCGTAGAGACAGCTCCCCGCTTTCCTCCCTCACTTCTCTTCCTCCCCCTCCTACTCCTCTTCCCATGTCATCCCTGCCTTTACCCTCCGCATGTTACTGTTTAGGCACATCCCTAACGCGTTTCATGGTCCGATTGGAAGCTCCACCGAAGGTCCAGGTGGGAGAGTTCACATGCGTCGGCCCGACCCTCTTCGGCACACCTCTCACATTTTCGTGGCCCCACACGGAGCTCCACGGAAGGACCCAATGGCAGGGATCTCATGCCCGCCGGGCCCATGTCGGCACACCCCTTACAAGTTTCGTGGCCCCATGGTGAGCTCCACCGCAGGCCCCAGTAGGCCTTGAATTGGAGGTGGTGGCACATGTGCCTTGAGGTGGAGGTACGGGTCACCCCTCCCTACGGCTGTCTCCCTCCAGTGCCAATTGACAGCAGTATTGAAAGTTGACTGCTGGGGGCGGGAACCCAAGCAGCCCCACTGATGGAAGCTGCGAGGTGTGTGAGGTCTATTGACGGTCCTCACTGGTGAGGCCTAATGACGGTCCTCGCCGAGGAGATGGTGAGAGGGAGGGGTTGGGCGTAGCGACGATGCCGTCCGCGATGCGCCCTGGTCCTGAGTCGGGCATTCCTGAAAGGGAGGGGGCGAAAAACAATATCGGCATACACAGTTTCGATTCCGAACCGAGTAATCCCTGTACACTCGGTATCCCACGGGGGGGAAACGAGCGCACACGCTCACGCTCTGGTACCGGTTTGTTGCGCCTCCAGGGGCAGACGACACGTGCCGCCCCCGGGGCACACCGAGGGCCTCGCGGACAGTCGCGCTCCGCCGAGAGCATGCCAGAGGAGGGGCAGGCATCCCCCGAAGCAACACCCAGAGGAAGAGAGTGAGGGAAAGGAAGGCGCACGCATTGGTTTCAGTTTGCTGCCCCCCCCAAGGGCGGACAAGGGGGCAGACCGAGGGCCCCCGGGGACAGCCTGTCCTATGCCGGTGCATCCCTCGCGCGTTTCGTGGCCCCATAGCTCCGCCGAAGGCCCCAATGGCAGGGTCCACAAGCGTCCGCCCGGCCCATGTCGGCCCCCCCCTTACACGTTTCGTGGTCCCATAGGGAGCTCCACGGAAGGCCACATGCGCCCGTCTGGCCCACGTCGGTACACCCGTCGCACGTTTCGTGCCCCATTGGGAGTTCACCGAAGACGACTCTGACAATTACGTTACGGAATGTTCGCGTCGTGCAGACCGGCGGGGACCCCACAGCGTGCGTTCAAGGTTGAACGCCGCCCGTGGCCCAGAATCGGCCCGTCGTTGAACGATTTAGCGTTCATGAGACGTCCGATCGTTCAAGTTTGAACGATCCCCGCGGTTGAACGATCGCGGTGTCAGGAACCAATGCTGGGGTCGACACGACGCGAACCTGCCGTTACGCACACATGCCTATGGTGTGGTTTTTCGCCAGGATGCTTGGCTGCTCGAGCGAATGGAAGGCTCGCGCTCGGTACGAAAATGCAGTGCTGGAGCGCACGCCGCGGGCTGCAGGAGCGCTCGTGCTCGAGGCAAGCTGCTGTGCCGGAGCGCACCCCTGTCTTCGGCAGGAGCTGCTCGGGGCGGCAGCGAGGGGGGTGATGACTTTTGGGGGGGGAGATGTCCTGGCGGGGGCCACGAGGTGTATTTACAGATTTCGTGGCGCCTCTGCTTATTCATTGCGTTCCTGGCACCCCCCCTTGTGCCGCGCACGTGCCGCAGGCCATGATCTGCGCCCCCCCCTTTTTGGACGCCCCCTCTTGGCCGCCCCCTGGAAGGAGACGCTGGAGCGGCATCCCGCCAAGGCTTTTCTACGGAATCGACGGAATCGTCAGGGGGAGGAGGGGGGTGAGGGTGCGGCAGCTGGGGGACGCTGGCGTTGCACTTACGCCTCGCTCTCGAAAGGGCTACGGACGCATCGTGGGTCAAAGGGTGAATGTTGCCCCAGAGATAGCCCGAAACATGCACGTGCGCCGTCCATTGCCACTGCCATCAATAGTCGACGCTCTACCGAGACGCTGCTTCCGGGTCCCCGCAAACAGTCCCGTGTTCCGCATTGGACAGACTGTCCACGTGGCAAAGCTTCGAAGGGGCTCCACACGCGCCTATCAGTGATAGGCGCGTGTGTCAGGCATCTCGCTTGCAGTGATTCACTGCAAGCGAGATGCCTGACACACGGGTGCGCCCGTGCATGCCGACCCATGCAGGGCCCGCTTCGATCCGATCCATCCGACTCGACACCGGCTCCGGCCGGCCCGGTTCGACTCGATACCGACCTCTGGTGGTCCCCAAACGTGGTGGTGAGAACACCCGGTGGTGAGTTTTGGGCGATTTGGGTAATGGTTTTCGAGCGCTGGCTGGCCCAGGAAACGCAAAACCTCGTGGCGACCGCGTGTCCCCAAACCCGGTGGTGACCCAGAATTATTTTTGGGGGGAATCGGGGTCACCACCGGGTGTCTCACTACCTGGTTTGGAGACCACCAACTGGGCGATCCGATGTGGCCCAATGTTTGCGCGGCGCTGTTGTGCGTCCTGGCGCCGCCGACGCGATTCGGTTCCGACTTTGTGCCTCTGCGGCCCGGTCCGACGCACGTTCCGATCCGATCTGACTTCCCGACTCGAGGTTGATTGCGTCTGCCTGTGCCTGCAGTCGCGCACGCGGGCAGTCGCCGCGGCAGTGCTCCGACCTCTCGCTTGCTCATGGTATCACCCCGCGCAGTGCCGTCCGCGCTCATGATCTGAAGCGCCCGAACCACTCGCGTGGCGCAAAGTGGTGGGGTTGGAGTAGGAGGAGGAGGAGGAGGAGGAGGGAGGAGGAGGGAGAGAGGAGGAGGAGGAGGAGGAGGAGGAGGAGGAGGAGGAGGAGGGAGGAGGAGGAGGGGGGGGGGGAGGGGGAGGAGGGTGGGGATGGGCCAGCTCCGTCGGAAGGTTCGTCGCCCACCCCTCTATCAATATCCCACCCAGAGAAGGCCTCGCACTCCTCGCTGTCGGCACGCAGCGCGGCGCGAGCCGGAGGCAGGGCGGCAGTCTGGCGGCGAGGCTGCGCCGCCACGCGCCTCTGGGCGGCCTGCTACCACTCCACGGGAAAGTGCGCACGCGTGTGTGGTTTCTGCCTCGAGCCCCTGCACGCGGGGTCGGCGGGCTTCGGAGTCTCGGCGATCCTGGACAATGCCACGATATTCAACAGGCTTGCGCCATTCCGCCGATCTCAGAAGAGGAGAGAAGTCCACGGGGCGCCCATCGAAGAGTCGCGGGAGGCCCAGCGGAGTAGCGTTCAACGCTGGAGGTCCAGCGTGTTCAGTCGGCAGGCCTTGTTGGATTCTGTCAGGCCGGCCGTGGTCGCCGGTTTGTCTCTTGGAGGCCTCGTGGGCGCCTGATGGGATGCTTTTGACGTCCCCCGTGGCCGTCTTGGGGCGCTCAGGGGGCTTCTGGGGCCTCTTGGAGGGGTGGTGCTCGCGAGGCCCATTGAAGCTACCCCTTTTGGGACCTCCTCGAGGGCCTTTTTGGGCCGTCTTGGGGGGCGTCTTGAGTCCGTGTCGTGGCTCTCTCGGACTGTCTCGGGGCCGTCGCGGCCGGCCTTTTTGGCACCCCATGGAACGGCATTTTAGCTTATTGGGTAGGGGGGAACGAACAGGGGGACAGCCAATCATCTCACGCGCTGTGTCGCCCCCTGCAATCGTGGGTCGACGGTTTTTTCGTGCAGTTTTGCAACTGCAAGTACATTACATCCGTGTCCCTATACGTGTGTGCCCTCCTGACGTTTCTGCCCACCGCAGGGTTTGCCAAGGCACAGCAGAAAAAGAGGTACGACGGTCAGGGCTGTTTGAGCAAGATCTCCTTTCTTCTGGGGATGACCCTGGTCACGGCAATCTGCTTTGTCGTGCGCGTGGCGTTCGTAAAGGAGTTCAACGTGAACGGTCTCTTGCGCCCACGTCTCGAAGATCTTGGCCCTGGGAAGGTGGTGCTGGCCGCGTGCGTCCCACCAGTGGTGGACCTCGTCCAGTCCATGATCCTCGTCGCGGCGAGCAAGCTGAAGGGCGCAGAGGCTCGCTGGGGACTCTCCGAATCGAGACCCGCGACCGTCACGAGCCCTACCCCTGCTGGTCCAATGCGGCGCTGGGATGTCGGACAGCTCTGCGGGGGTTCATTTGGCTGCAGACGTCCTTCACATTCTGACACCCCGTCGTCGTTTCAGAATCCCGACCTGCAGGGGGCAGGGTTTGCATGTGGTTGCCTGGGGTAGTTCCCAAATCGAGACTCGCAGAGGTCGCTCATGAGGCCCCCCCCCCCAGGGAGGCCGCTGGCGGTTTTGGGGGGTCATCTGGGAGCGGAGTGCTCGAAATGTCAGTTCGTGTTCCCCTTGTGTGGCCCCTCTTGGGACCCGTGCGTGCTGCTTTGGGGGCCTCTTGGCCCTCCTTCGGGCACTCTTGGGCCGTCTCGGGGCTTTCTTTCGGGCCTCATAGGCCGTCTAGGGGCGGTATTTTGGGACTCTTGGGGCCGTCCTGGAGCGTTGGAAGACCGAAAGCACGAGAACGCTAAACTCTTGGGGAACTCAGCGATGTTTGCCTCTTGGGGCCCTCGTGGGGTCCCTGCTTAGGCCGCCTTCGGGCCTCTCGGGTCGTCCTGGAGGGGCGGCGACGACGACAAGGGAGGAGGACGAGAGGGGAGCGGCCCCTCCCTGGAGGGGGTGCGGGCCCCCCCTCCCGGGTCCCCCCCGGACGTCCTCCCCTCGGCGGGGAGGGGACCAAAGGGAAGGGGCTTCTCTGCCACTTGATTACGACCTGGGGCGATTTCCCTCGGGCTGGCGACTTTGAAACGCTCCACTTGGCGACCTCGCAACGCTCCAGTCGGGCTGGTGACTTGGAGCGATTTCTTTTGGAGCTTTGGATCCGCTGTTGACGCTCCGATTGCCAGGGCGTCGCTGAGCCTGACACACACGCTGGCAGGGTTGGCGTTTTTTTGGACGTTTCCAGGGACTTCTAGTGTAAGAGGCTGATGTGCCTGGGTCTGCGGCTGCGCGCGTCTTAGTACACCTGTGTTACACTTTAAGCACACTCCGCCATGCATAGCTGGTGGCGTCTGTCTAGTCAAAAGCTAAAGGTATTCCCTGGCGCCGATCCAGACTACAATATCGGGCGCAACAGAGCGTGCGTTTGTTCTGTTGCGCGCGCGCTCTTGCAGTCATCGCGAGTTCTGCTGGACGGTTCCCGTCGTTCAGAGGAGGCCACCACTACCGCAATCTTTCCACAGCCGATTTTTGGGCGGGGGTCGCTGGGCTTCAGCGCTGCGTTCCCTCGCTGTCCCAGGCGCGGGTGAAGCACAACGCGGGTGACGCCTACATTAAGCTCGGCGAGGGGAACAACAGCACCTGGCAGTAACTCGCCAGCGTTGGTTCTGAACTGCCCTTGGCATTGGCTGGGGAGCCCGCCATTAGCGTCGGGATTTCCAACCCCGAGCCAAAACGCCTGGTCGGTTTTGGAGGTCGCCGCGGCGGTCGCGGCGGCCACACATCTGGGCAAGGTTTCTGTCAATGAGTGGCATGCCCGCTTCCAGCCCCCCCGCTCTGCGATGTAGACGTGGCCCATAGTCAGCTGTACAGCGGCAGAGACATGCCAATCTGTGTTCAACATGGGCTGCCATGCTTCTTGGGGTATGGGGCCGATTATCGTTCAACCAGTCCTTTCGGAGTTTTTCTGTTTGTTTGCGTGCTGGACGGCGGCAGAGCTGGGTCCTCATTTCGAACCCACTGCGCCGCGCGTCTCGTCTTCTTTCCCCTCCTCCTCTCCGTCCTATTTCCCGCCGCGCGCGTGCGGCGATATTGCAACGTGTGTAGCATGTGTGAGCTGCTTACGCCCGAGCTGCCTCCCCAATGGTAGTAGTAGTCGTTGTAGTAATAGTAGTAGTAGTAGTAGTAGTAGTAGTAGTAGTAGTAGTAGTAGTAGTAGTAGTAGTAGTAAGTAGTAGTAGTAGTAGTAGTAGTAGTAGTAGTAGTAGTAGTAGTAGTAGTAGTAGTGTAGTAGTATAGTAGTAGTAGTAGTAGTAGTCGTAGTAGTTAGTAGTAGTATAGTAGTAGTAGTAGTAGTAGTAGTAGTAGTAGTAGTAGTAGTAGTAGCTACCAGCAACTACTACTGCAGCATGCAGCAGCAGCAGCAGCAGCAGCAGCAGTAGTAGTAGTAGTAGTAGTAGTAGAGTAGTAGTTAGTAAAATTGGTAGTAGTGGTAGTAGTGGTCGAGTAGTTAGTAGTAGTCGTAGTAGTAGTAGTAGTAGTAGTGTAGTAGTAGTAGTAGTTGTAGTAGTAGTAGTAGTAGTAGTA